AGCCAACTGCCGGTCAAAACGGATAAATGATCATCCCATTGATCCACTCCTAGGTAACCATTCTAGTTGTATGCCACCATCCATCATAACCACGATCATGACAATGGTTGTCCAAATAGTCCGTTAACAAGGCAACTAATAAGAAAAAGGAAGGACTCTTCCAAAAGGCATCATTTTCTTGTCGTACAACGAAAGAAAACTGTCCTTCTGGACCTCCAGACTTCGTCTCGTAATTTTTGCAAAGATACAGGCCGGAGCCCTGGGAAGACTACTTTTCGCCCCCGTGGTCGGGTCTCGTCCCCCCCCCGCCGGTTGTACCTGGTCTTGCTCTCCTCGAGCTCGTAGTTTGTCGGTCTCACTGGACTGGGGGTCCCACGAAATGGGCGAATGAAATGTATTTACAAAGGAATTTCCAATGAATCACAAAAGGATGATACCTACACAAAACCTCTAGTTGTTTAACCCGAATTTCTGACGAAGTCATAACCCTATAACGACATCCGACATTGTTCGTCCGCCGGTCAAACCCACACCCCCGTTTAACGTCAACAAATACACCTTAACTTAGCTCTTCAGGAAAAAGAAAAATGGACCCTGTACGAAGCTAGAAATAAATTTTTCACTTGTCCTCCTTATTTTCTGGAAAGAATGTAGGCGAACTAGACGAGACAAAATGAGACAGTAGAGCGTATGGTGTTACAATTTTAAGACGGTACTGTGACTTGTACCCAAATCTATTTGTGGTTGAAGACAAGAGGTGTGTGGTTTGTGATAGTACCTAGAGGTGTGATAAGCTAGTTTCCCTCCCAGTTTTGTTTGTTAAACTTACGCAATTCCGTCAATTCCTAGAGAAAGGTATCGACAGACTAGCCATGAAATTATACTTTGACTCTAAAACAAGTCAAGCGAGTCACAGTCCAACAGTTGTTGTATCACCCGGAAAAGGGTTTACCTGGGCCCCAAGTAACTACCAACGAGGTAAACGAACTTTCCTAAAGTAATTACAATCTGCGAAAATAGGTTTCGCTTGAAGGTAGAGTCCATGACCACCTGGTAGGGTGACCTCGTTACACCCCCCCACACCTTTACTAGTTAACTAGTGAGTGATTCTGGGTGCTACTAGTTAACTAGTGCAGACAAATGTATGCCACTAGTTAACTAGTTCTGCTTCTTTTTTGTAACTAGTTAACATGTCAGAGCTTTTGCAGCGCACTAGTTAACTTGTAAGACTTTTAGCGTCACTAGTACGGTCAGAGGGTCACTAGTTCATCAAAAAGCTTACAAGTTGGGACTTTGGTGCTACAAGTGGTGCTCCTGGCGTCACTAGTAAGGCTTATGTGGTAACTAGTCGGACAAAAGTGCCACTTGTTGCTGAAAAAGAGTGACTAGTGTAATGTTTTATTTAACTAGTAAAGCAGAGTGCCAAACTAGTTTGACCATATAATGCATATATTTCATATAATATATCTAACAAGTGAAATCAAAGAGCCAACTAGTGTAGGCAGCTGCCGTGTGATATCAAGGATATGGAATACATACTCAAATGGTTGCCATAGTCGGGTATTTAGTGCCTACTGTTAAAATATTGTCCGTGGGAAGTCAGTCAGTGTGTGTTTTGCCTAGAAAAAATACATGTTTCTGTTTTTGCTTTGCTCCGCTTTGTGTGTGTTTTTGCTGGTGCGTATACTCATGTGAGAACACCGGCACTCGAGACACAAAAGTAGCATTTTTATCAGTGGTGCTCATGAAATTAATAAAGCTGAAAAACTGGACAGATCTTAAAATCAGGGTAACGATAGATCCGCATGAAGATAAACAACCTCTCCATATTTGCCTCCTAATGGAAGTCACGGCGATTTATCAGCCTCTGAGGAAAGCTGCGATCCGAAGAGGGTTACTTCCTCTTTCTATCCATCAATAATGTCACTCTGTTATCACAGTGCTATTCTAATCCAAGCACCTCTCAAATTGCGGCTGATAAAATGTTTTAAAGAGAATCTATATTCCTGTCTGCAGTCCTAAAGCAACTTTCTAATTTAAACGAAGTATTCAATGTTCTTACCTAATTTGATATACAGTCATATGATCATAATTACAACAATACTTTTGTTTTATATTTATGTAAATATGGTCATATGACTGTATTTGAAAACACCATATATCTAACAAGTGAAATCAAAGAGCCAACTAGTGTAGGCAGCTGCCGTCTGATATCAAGGATATATAAGTGGCTTGCCATATATCAACTAGTAAGTGATTGTGTTGAACTAGAGAGAAGAAAACCACAAATAGTGGGCTGAAAATATCCACTAGTTTAAGAAAAAGCCATACATGTTGAATCAATATCTAACTAGTTGCATACAGTTGCTCACTAGTGCAAAAAAAAGCCAAACTAGTTGAAGGAAAGGCCTTACATGTCAGACAAATGTGTAACATGTATGATCAAAGTCTAACATGTTTATAACCTGACTAGTGAGAGGGTCTGGCTGCAGGATGGTGGGTGGAGGTGATAAGGTCAGGGTAGTGCCTCATATGCAGCAAACATGATGATCAGGCCTGTAT